CTTAGTATAAAAACATTATTTTAAGTAATACATAGCAGCATTCAAAAACAAAACTCCTGGTAGTCCTAAGATTAAAAGGAATCTAAGAGACCAGAGAAGTAGACAAAATCAGCTTAAAGTGTGAATTTACACAAGGAAAAACATGTCAGAAAGAGTGCTAACACAGAAGGTGTAACACAAAGCATGCTTTAAGACATATTGGAAGTGAAGAGCATGAGAAGGTCTAATAGCAGACAACAGTGTAGAAAAAGGGTTACCTCCAGTACACTATCCATCTCCACAACCAGCAAGTAGTGCCAGTTACTTTAAAACAGAGCGGAAAGAGACAGCTTAGAATGAAAGGACAGGCCAATGCTCTGGGTGATACCTAGGAAGAATGAGAGTCTCTGAAGCCCAGAAAATAAGCTGCCAAGGCACTTGAACTGAGGGAATATCAGTATGTCCCACCCATCCTTTACTTTCACTGAAAACTGCAGAGAACACATCACGGCACTAGCACACCGCTATCTTCCCAGGGAGTCACCCAAACAAAGACAATGAACAGTAAAATTCACACTCCCAAACACGAACACACTAGCAAGGGTGCTGAACATTTGAGGAATACCAAGACTATGAAATACCTAACAAACTTTAAAATGGAAGAAACCAAAGTAACACAGTCAACAGCACACTAAGAACAAGAATGTACAACAATTACAATATTACCAGGGAAATGAAAACATAAGCGAAGAGTTTTATGGGAAAACTAAGTGGAATTCATGGAAATGAAAACAAAAATTTGTGAAATAAAAAGAGACTCATTAAATGAACTGAATGGCAGACTAGACAAACCTAAAGAGTATATTCCAGTGAGCTGGAATATCAAGCCTAGGTATCCTTCCAAAACACAGTAAAAAGGGATAAAAAGATTTATTTAAAGAACATTACATACAGAGGTTCCAATATATCAGTCTAGTAAGAGATCTCTTGAGGAGAAAATGTAGAAGCAATATATGAAGAACTTATAATTGCAAATGTACCTATAACTGAAGATAAGTACTCACATTGACAGCATTCAGTGGGAACTTAAGCCAAGAAGAAAAAAAGAAAAAAGAAATGTTCAAGTGAAATTCAGAATGTCAAGGATAGAAAAATAGTCCTAAGAGTTATGAGAAAGGAAAGGGAATTCTTGATAAAAGAACAAGATCCAGAACATCACATGACTCATTAGCAACAATGTAAGTAAGACGATAAGAAAGCAGAATCTTCAAAGTGCTATGGAAAATAAACCTCAAACTTCTATTTCTTTATTCAGCCAAATTATCATTCAAGGCTCATTTGTAGCCATGATGAAGTAACAGATCTACTCTTTCATCTTAAACAACTACAAGTTTGAACAAAACATATGAAATGGTTTTCAAACACTGGACAACAGAGCACAGGACAGTGAGCCTGGAGAGGAGGGAAACAAAGGTGGTAAACCCAGCAGCTTCCCACCTTACTGACTGGCAAGGCTTTCCTGGCTGCAGCACAGAGACAAGATAACCAAACAGAGCTTGGCAGTCTCTAGAACTGAGGAAACAGTATTCAGACCTTGGAAAATTGAAGAACACTAGAATTTGCAGGACATAATTGCAAAGAAGAAAGAGCTGTACAGGGAAGTGTGCTTAAGATCTAAAGAGGAACCCTAGAGCTTCCTGCTGAATGACAAATAGCATATTGTCAATAATACCTGAGGTTCAGTCAGGGTTGCAAATGTCTCATGCTTCCAAGGGCCAAACTGAAAAGACCTCCAAAGCAATAAAGCACTGAGTATTTAAAAGAATACTGCTATAGCAGTGAGGCCAAATTAGCACTTGACTAAAGATTGTTCTGTATCGACCCAGCAAAGCTTATAAACAAACCTTTAAAGACTCAAACTATTTCCAAGTAACATAACTGCAATCCCAGAAAAAAGTCCACAAATATTTAAAGAATACAAAAAACTGCAACATAAAATACACAATGCCTGGTATCCAACTACAAATTACCAGACATGTAAAGAAGAAAAGATGACCCTAAGGAGGGAAAAATCAATCAACAGAGGCTCAGAAATGACAACGATGGTAGAATTAATAGATAAGGACATGAAAACAGCTATTATAATTATATTCTGTATGTTCAAGAAAATGAAGAAAAGCATAAGTATTATGGAGAGGGACACAGAAGGTATAAAAACAATACAAACCAACTTTGACATAAGAAATACAATCTCTGGTGGGACACAGTGGTTCATGTCTATAATCCTAGCACTTTGGGAGGCCAAAGCAGACAGATTATCTAAGGTCAGAAATTTGAGACCAGCCTGGCCAACATGGTGAAACCCCATCTCTACTAAAAAATACAAAAAAATTAGCCAGGTGTGGTGGCACCTGCGTGTAATCCCAGCTACTCAGGAGGCTGAGGCAGTAAAGAATGGGAACCCAGGAAACAGAGGGTGCAGTGAGCCAAGATCACGTCTCTGTACTTCAGCCTGGGCAACAAGAGCGAAAACTCTGTCTCAAAAAACAAACAAACAGAAAACAATCTCTGAGATGGAAAACATATAATGTCTGTTCAGAATTAACAGATTAGACACAGCAGAAGAAAAGATTAATGCAGTTGAAGACACAGCAATAGCACAATGCAAAATGAAATACACAGAGAAAAAAACTAGACTGAACAAAATAAATTGTTGATAGTATACAAAGTGGCCTAATATATATGTACCAGAGTCCTAGAAGAGAGAGAGAGGTAAACAGAAAAATTTTTTTTGAAGAAATAATGGGCCGGGCATGGTGGCTCACACCTGTAATCTCAGCACTTCAAGAGGCCAAGGCGGGTGATCACTTGAGGTCAGGAGTTCCAGACCACCCTGGCCAACACAGTGAAACCCCATCTCTACTAAAAATACAAAATATTAGCCCAGCGTGGTGACGGACACCTGTAATCCCAGCTACTCAGGAGGCTGAGGCAGGAGAATTGCTTGAACCCAGGAGGCAGAGGTTGCAGTGAGCCGAAACTATGCCATTGCAATCCACCCTGGGCAACAAGAGTGAAACTCTGCCAAAAAATAAAATAAAATAATAGATGAAAATTTTCCAGATTTGATGAAAATTATAAACCCACAGATCTGAGAAGCTCAATGAACCCCTATACAAAATAAACATGAAGAAAACTATACAAGGCAGGGTGCAGTAGCTCATGTCTGTAATCACAGCACTTTTGGAAGCCAAGCACATGGATCACCTGAGGTCTGGAGTTCAAGACCAGCCTGGCCAACATAGTGAAACCCTGTGTTTACAAATAAACACAAAAATTAGATGGGCGTGGTGGTACACACCTGTAATCCCAGCTACTCGAGAGGCTGAGGCATCGAGGCATGAAAATTGCTTGAGCTAGGGAGGTGGAGGCTGCACTGAGCCAAAATCATGTCATTGCACTCCAGCCTGGGTGATACAGTGAGACTCTGCCTCAAAAAAAAAAAAAAAAAACCTTACACAAACCACATCATAATCAAATTGATTACAGTAATAATAATAAAAAAATTTAAAGTAGAAAAAACAGATACATTACATACAGAGGAAAAAGATAAGAATGAATGCAGAGTTCTTGTCAGAAGTAGGGCAAGCCAGAGGTAAAAAGTGTCAGAGTATAATACAATATTTAGCCAAAATATGTGTCAAAAAACAAAAGCAAAATACTTTTTCAGACATACAAATGCTAACCAAATTCACCAGAAGACCACCACTACACATTATCGTTCAAGTATGAGGACAAAGTAAGAACATTTCCAACAAATCTTGGAAAGTTTATCTCCAAAAGAATTACCAGAAGAATTCTCCAGCATAAAAAAAACTAAACTCAGGGGGAGGAATAGTAAGACATAAAGAATAATGTTGAGAAAAGAAATTGGTAAATTTTGGTAAGTCTACTCTTCTAAGAATATTTTAAGTAAAAATTTGTAACCAAAATTCCAGCTGCTACATAGGTGATATGGGCAAAGGAAAAGACTGATAGTTGGTTCTTATCTACTATATAGGGGAAAGAGACAAATACAGATTAATTCTGACAGAGAAAAACGAACTGAAGTATCCGTGTTAACAATATAAGGGCAACAATAGGGGTAACCATTAAAGAATTTAACTATGTATCTATGACACTGTTTCAAAGAAAAAATACACTATATTGAACTACATTAGCTCACAAAAATACCACTTACGAACTTACAGCAGATATGTAATATGTCTAATTAAAATATATTACCATCGAATTAACCTATTTCCTATATGAGTGTGATGCTGAGCTGACAGAAATAATCATCAGTTGCTCTGCAAACAAAATGTTAAAAGGCATTTGTGCACCCTCTCCAAGTCAAAACTATAAAGAATTTTAGCTATTCTCAAATCCTGTGAAACACGAAAGGAAAAAAAGAGTTTCAATGACTGAAATGATTATCTAAAAACTTAATATTTTCTTGGATACATGACTTAATGTAGTTAATTGACATAACTGGAGACTTTAATTCTATTTCTAATTTGCTTTTGAGAAAATGCATAGTTTACATATATACTTACCCAAATACTTATTTCCCATTTTTCTTCTAAAAGTCTTAAAAGTATGCAAAACCAAAAGAATATTGAGGGAAAAAAAACACATAGCAATCTAAGAATTTATTTCTTTCATAAGAATATCTGGGTTGCTATACCCACTTCTACTCTTTTAAAACAAGGATATGGGGATGAAATTACTCCCAATTAACCAAAGCAACAACAGAATTCCACCCTGGTATAAAAGATAGCAGAAGAGAAGGTAAATGAGTTACGATATCACAATTTTATACTCTGCAAATGACTTCTGAGTGTCTTTACTGCCTCTTATTATGCCCAGATTGTTAGATTGTCACTCTTTTTACTTACACTTACCTTATTTCAGATCTTCACTTGGGATACTAACACATTCAAAATCTCAGAAACAAACAAACAAACAAACAAAAATCATACCATATGTCCTTCGGCTCGAGCTTTATTCTGCATAGCTTCTCGTTTTCGCTGCAGGAACTCTTCTACTTGTTTAGCCCTTTCTGCAGCTAGCTGCCCTTTTTGCCTAATTTGGACAAATCACAAAGTCAGCCATCCTGAACATAAAATATTCTAGAAAGTTAAAAATTACATTTATCCCCAATATTTTTTTCCCATTTCAGAATATGAAGGTGGATGACACAAACACTTTCTCTGTGATGAAGAAATCACTACATCTACATGAACATCTACGACCTAAATCACATTCTTTATTATTTTAAACACAAGTAAAATCTATAATTCTACTCTGAATCTTCATGAGATGGCTTCTTTTACATTTATGTGATCTATTCTACTTATTTAAACATATAAAGTTATTTTAGACTACACTTAATTATAGAAGAATCTGAGAGGTTTCCAGGTTTATTTCAGAACTCTGTATCAAATATAATAAGAATCTCAGTAGCCAAGTCAAATAAAAGCAGTATAGCAGCAATTTAAAAAATGAACAAAAGAACAAAAGCTTTACCTAAGTGTGAATTTTCAAAAATACAGTAAAAAGCTATGTTTGAATTCCCTGAATATCACAACTATAAAAAAAGTAAAATTGATAGGTTAGCGAAAAGATTAAAAACAGAGTTATTTGTTTTAATCCTGTCCTATTTTACTTTTGTGTCTTTCTCTGACAATTATGCAAGAATGCAAACATGCTGATCTTAGATGACAAACAAAAGGTACAAATAACAAACACTGATTAAGCATCTACTATATATTGTGTTAGATACCATGCTAAGTATGGAAGATACAAAGATAAATAAAACCTAGCCCCAATAATCAGAGAACTCATACCATGCCATCAATTGCAGTTAATTTTGGAGGTGAAGAATAAAGATGAGCAAGTTGTTGGCTCTGCTTCTACCTGTATTTTGGCCAGTAAGGCACACAAACTTCCTATACAGGCTTTCTTTGGGACCATAACTAAATCATGTCCTGCAAATTACATGAACTAAATCTCAGTCTCCTAGTAAGATTTAAGCATTTCTGATATTCATATACCAAATAACTGCTTCTTTTACATTTTTTGGCAATGACTACTAACTGAAACATAAAAATATTTTAAATATAAAATTAAGCTGTAAAATGTAAACAGCTATTCCATAACTATGAATGACAGTGATCGAAGGTTCATTTACCTCATGTAGTACTTAAAAAAAAGATTCTTATGAAATTTCCATCATAGGAATTTTCTAGAATTAGATAATCTGTAACTGGTTTAAAGGCCTATTACTATTGCTCTCAGATGCATCTGGATAGCTAAACCTTAATGTAGTTTCACATCACTAAATTCAGAAATGCACTTCACACATGCAATGTTGGCTTGAGTAGATGAACACAATGAATGATAAATTTGTTCATGCCTCTGTAGTGTAGCTGTGCTGTCCTCTAGCAGTCCCAATACCCACTGGAAAATTCTGAGATTAATAAGGTATATCTGTTCTGAATGCAATTTACCTCCTATAGGTATCAAAGTAAGGCTATATCCTGGTTTGCTATAGCCCATTTATATAAGGCTGGGACTGAGGAAGACAGATGAACCTTCAAATGCGATGTTCTGACATGAGATTAATAAGGTATATCTGGTCAGAATGCAACTTATTTCCTGTGCATATCAAAGTAGGACTGTACCCTGTTCTGCCACAGCCCCATCTATGTAAGGCTGAGCTTGAGGAAGGCAGACAAACCTTCAGGTGTAATGCACTGACATAAGATTAATAAGGTATATCTGGTTAGAATGCACCTTACTGCCTGCATTTATCAAGGTAAGGCTGTATTCTGCTCTGCTATAGTCCCACCTACGTAAGGCTAGGCCTGAGGAAGACAGATAAACCTTCAGGTATGATGCTTAGACATGTTATTTGAAACTCTATGGTTACTGGCAAGGCTCTTTTGGGGGGTCCTGGAAGCTTAAACCACCATCTGCAATCAGACAAGACAGCTGATCTCTCTGCTGTATATCCTGATTGTATTAACTTCCTTCTCCTTTACAAAAGTAAAGCATGTTTGACTTCCCATCTTAAGACACTTTCTGTGTCCAGTGATTGTTAGCCTGAACTTCCAATTGGCATATGTTAAACAGTGGTTGCACAGAATTATTTTACTAGGAACCTGGTCATATGTAACACAGCTTTCATTTATATATTTTCATACCATTTATGCATATATAATACTACTTGCTCTATGTATTTATCTGATTTATAAATTTTGTTTAATTGAACAGTCACTTCCTAAGCTGCCTGAAATAAGCAGGTTTACATTACCAGCTGCTTTCAAATACAAACTTAGTAACTGTAGTGATTTTGTTTAACACTATTTCTTTTTTCCTCTCATTTATCAAACAAATATTGAATATCAACTATTTGCCAAATTATATGTCAAAAGACATAAAGATGAATAAAACAGAGTTCCAGGGAGGCAAGTTCATATGGTTGAACATATGAAAATCAGAGTGACACATGTTAATAGAATGAAGGACAAAATTTAATTAATTTTATGACTCCTTAGACTGTTTAAAAACTTAGAAACTCTGTGTCCATTTTTCATATGCATTATTGTTTACTACTTCATATACATCAAAAATAGCCCATAACTCATATGATTAGTTATCTCTAAAGTTGTACAACTGTACTAAACTATGGGCATAAACTGTATGTTTGTGCTGGGATCATGGGGATAAGGATTAAACAGTCAATTTACTTCCTGATAGTAATCTTCTTCATTAAACACTATTAAGAATTCATGTGAGCATGCTCTGTTTTACAAAAATTAGAGCACTTCTTTTGAGTTCCAGAATTATACTGCTTAAAATCAGTAAAACAATGACCTGGATTAATGATAAGGGGATGATAATATAAATGTAAATATAGTAAGAAATCAGGAATTGGATAGGAAACACAAAGACATTAAAACTGACTAAAGGTATAACGTACAAGGATAAGGGGCATCAAACAATGAGATAACAGAAGTATAGTGTTCTTTTGTCAAGAAATAATCACTGTGGCCAGGCCCAGTGGCTCACACCTGTAATCCCAGCACTTTGGGAGGTTGAGGCGGGTGGATCACCAGATCAGGAGTTTGAGACTAGCCTGGCCGATATGGTGAAACCCCGTCTCTACTAAAAATACAAAAATAGCTGGGCATGGTGGCACGCACCTGTAGTCCCAGCTACTCTGGAGGCTGAGGCAGAAGAATTGCTTGAACCCGGGAGGTGGAGGTTGCAGAGAGCAGAGATCGCACCAATGACTCCAGCCTGGGTGACAGAGCAAGACTCTGTCTCAAAAAAAAAAAAAATTATTCTAAGACAAACTTTCCTTTTTTAACCCTGACAGGAGAAGGGGAGGAAAAGGGAGTAAGTTATTTTCTTTCCTTTTTTTTATTTTAAATGCATGAAAAAGCAACAAGATTTGGCTGGGAACTTCATGTCTCATATCCGTGGTTCAAATTCTTTACTGATAAAGAAAACTTAAAACTTTTGAAGGATAATTATAAATGGAATATTTTAGGAGTTGAAGATAACATAAACGTAAGTAGCACTCTAGGTAACAGATAATCTGAGAAATAAAAATGAGTAATATGGTATTAGGCAGAAGAGTTGGGGTGGTAAAGAATTATTGAAATGAAAAAATGATGTAGAAGGGTTTGTTCATTTAGCCTCCTCTTAAGGGGCATACTGTCTATGTAATGGAATGAAATTGTTGTTAGCTTTATCCAAATTAAATGAAGCAATACAGACAAAGGGACTTGGGAAAAGTACAAGCACCTTGAAAACATAAATGTTAGGAGGCACTCCGTAATTTTTAAAAAGTGCCTTCAGCCATTTGAACCATACATGACTGGAGCTTCTAATATTAAAAAGCCTAATAGAGAGGTACGTTATTAAGACACTGGATATAAGCAAAGTCAGACTGGTCAGAGTTGCTGATAAGAAAGGAAGAGGAGGCCGGGTGCGGTGGCTCACGCCTGTAATCCCAGCACTTCGGGAGGCTGAGGCAGGTGGATCAACTGAGGTTGGGAATTCAAACCAGCCAGATCAACACAGAGAAACCCTGTCTCTACTAAAAATACAAAATTAGCCAGGTGTGGTGGTGCATGCCTGTAATCCCAGCTACTCAGGAGGCTGAGGCAGGAGAATTGCTTGAACGCAGGAGGTTGCAGTGAGCTGAAATTGCGCTACTGCACTCCAGCCTGGTCAACAAGAGCGTGAAACTCCATCCCCCGCCCTCCCCCCCCAAAAAAAAAGAAAGAAAGAGGAAGAGGAAAAATAAATAATATCATAAAGAAGAAACAGGCAAATATGGGTGATTATGAAGAAAAGCAAATCTGTAAAGAGTCTTAGATGACTACAGATTTCAGTCTGCTGATTCAGTTTGAATCAAATAAAGGAACTAACCAAGAATGACAATGACATACAAATTATAAAAACCAAAAATTGTGACAGAGAAAATCTTCTATAATGCTAGTGACCACTAAACAGTACCAGACAAAAGAATCATTCAGATGGGAAGAGATCTTGGGTATTTAGTCCAAGTCATTGAATAAAGTATTCCCATATTCCCATCTAAATACCCCATGACACACTGTCATTTAAACCTCTGGTTAATACTTCCAGTTTGAAGATATTCATTAAATCCCATGATGATCCAACCTTTGAACAGCCCTCATATTGGACGGAAAAGTGTCTTTATATTTCCAGCTTGTGTCTAGTTCCTCCTCCACATGACAAGTCACTCAACTATCCTATTGTGTAAACAGTGCAGAATTACAGTGAAAGTTCATCTCCTATACTACTTTGCTTTTCAACTTTATATTTAAAAAGTTCTTTAGCTCCTAAAAAGTTATTAATACTGGCCAGGGGGCAATAAAACAGGCATTATCATATACCTGTTAGGTGGAGTATAAACTGGCATTTTTCTAGAAAAACTTAGTAATATTTCTTCCTAGAATCTTCATCAGGAACATAGATGACCAAATCCTTTAGCAAAATAATTGCCCTTATGAGATTCTATTTAAAGAATAAAATGTGGCAGAAAATGTTCAAAACGTGAAGGATTACAAAGAACTTGTTATATTAGGGGATTTGTTAAATAAATCAGCACATTCAGGCACTGGAATCTTATGCATATATTAAAAAATTGAAAACAATTTTTAAGATGAGAAAAGTACATGATAACACTAAATTGTAAAAGATACCAATTTCTATGCAAGATTTGATTTTCACTAAGTGAAAAGGAAAAAAGTATGCAAGAAAATTAACCAAAGTCTTCACCAGTGACTTGCCTTGGTAGGGATTTGGAATTATTTTCTTTCCTGTTTCCTAACACCTTCCTCCTCTATGTTCCAATTTTTCTAAAACTAACCTACATCACTTAGCAATCAGAAAAACAATTTTTAAAAAAGTGCCTCTTGTGATTTTCCTTCAGGTTTTCTTTCAAAAAGGAGAGAAACAGTTGACTAAGAACCCTATATGAAAGGACAATAATAAGATAGTTAGCTGCTGGTATTTTTAAAACAGAAATTCTTGAATTCAGCAAAAGAAAGAATATTTTAAAAGAATTTGAGAATAAGACGAAGGAAAAAAAAAGATTAAATGCCTTTCAGTCAAGCAAACACTGAAGAAGAAAGACAACAGTTCAAATTTGGAGTAGAGAAAGTTGCTGTTCCACGTCAGTGAAAAGGTTACAGTGTGTATCTAAGACAATGAGTATTAAGAAAGAGATCACGAGAACATTATACACATAGTAATTAAATCATTTCCTTACAAGTGATTGCCAGCTATGAAAGAAAAGGGCATTTTTATTCTTATAGCAAAATATAATAAAACATAGCTGGTTCAACATCTGAAAATCAGTTAATATAATCCATCATATCAATAAGGTAAAGAAGAAAAATCATATGATCCATCGATACATGCAAAAAAACCCAAAGGCATTTGACAAAATCCAACACCCATTTCTGATTTTAAAAAATCTCAGAAAACTTAGAGAAAAACTTCCAAGATTTCATAAAGAACATCTACAAAAAATCTCCAGCTAACATTATATTTAATGGAAACTTGAAGCTTTCTGGCTAAGACTGGGAACAAGACAAAGATGTCCTTTCTGAGCACTACTTTTCAACATCATATTGGAAGTTCTAACTAATGCGATAAGACAAGGAAAGAAAACACAGGTGTACAGACCAGAAAAGAAGAAATATAACTGTCTTTGTTTGCAGATGACATGATTGTCTACGTAGAAAATTCAAAAGAATTGCCAAAAATACCCCTCCTAGAAAAAGTGATTATAGCACAGTTGCAGGATAGGTTACTAAAGTCAATTGCTTTCCTATGTATAAGCAATGAATAAGCAGAATTTGAAATTAAAAACACATTATCACTTACATTAGCACTCCCCAAAAAGTAACATATAGCTACAAATCTAAAAATATGCACGGATATGAGGAAAACTACAAAACTCTGATGAAAAATATCAAAGAACTAAATAAATGGAGAGATATTTCAGGTCTAATAGGAAGTATTGGAAGATCAAATATTGTCAAGATGTTAGTTCTTCCCAAGCTGACCTACAGATTCAACATAATCCCAATCAAAATCCTAGCACGTTAGTCTGTAGATATGGACAAACTGATTCTCGAGCTTATGTGGAAAGACCAAAGAACCAGAATAGCCAACTCAGTATTGAAGAACAAAGCTGGAGGACTGAAACTACCCGATTTCAAGACTTAATATAAAGTTACTATAACCAAAACAGTGTGGTACTGGTTAAAGAACAGACAAATGAATCAGTAGAACAGAGAGCACAGAAATAGACCAACATAAAAATCCCTTGTCAACCGATCACTGACAAAGGAGCAAAGGCAATTCCAAGGAGAAAATATAGCCTTTTCAAGAGATGTGTAACAACTGGGCATCCACATGCAAAAAAATGAATCTAGACACAGACCTTACATCTTTCAGAAAAATTAACTCAAATAGATCACAGACGCAAAGACAAAACATGAAACTATAAAACTCCTAAGAGAAAACCCAAATGAACTTGTATACAGTGATAACTTTTCAGGTATAACACCAGAGACACAATCCATGAAAGAAAGAACTGATATGCCAGACTTCATTAATAATAAAAAAAAAAATTTGCTCTGCAAAAGAGAATATTAAGGGAATGGAAAGATAAGCCACAAAGAAAAATAAAAGATCTGCAAAAGACATACCTGATAAAAGACTGTTATATGAAATATACAAAGAACTTTCAAAACTCAACAGTATAAAAATGAATTTAAAAATGGGCAAAAGGCCTGAACAGACAACTCATCAAGAAAGATATACAGATGGCATGAGACATATGAAAAAATGTTCAATATGTCATTAGGGAATTGTAATTAAAACGAGATACCACTACACACTGATTAAAATGGCCAAAATCTAAAACACTGGCAACACTAAATGCTGGAGAGGATGTGGAGCAATTGGGATTCTCAATCACTGCTGGCAAGAATGTATAATGGTATAGCCACTTTGGAAGACAGTTTGGTGATTTCTTACAAAATCAAACACACTCTTAAGACATGATCCAGCAATCATCCTCTTGGCATCTTTTAAAATACTTAAAAACTTATGTCCACAAAAAAAACCTATACACCAATAGTTGTAGAAGCTTTATTCATAACTGCCATAACTTAAAAGCAACCAAGATATCCTTCAGTAGAATAATGAATAAAGTGTGGTATATCCATTCTAGCTGGGCATGGTGTCTCATGCTTGTAATCCCAGCACTTTCAAAGGCCAATGCAGGAGGACTGCTTGAGCCCAGGAGTTCAAGACCAGCCTGGGCAACATAATAAGACCCCATTTCTACAGAAAATTAAAAAATCAGCCACGCATGGTGGCAAACACCTGTAGTCCCAGCTGTTCAGGAGGCTGAGGTGAGAGGGCCACTTCAGCCCCAGAGGTCAAGGCTGCAGGCAAGCCACGATCATGCCACTGCACTCCAGCCTGGGTGACAGAATAAGAATGTGTCTCCAAAAAAAAAAAAATTACAAAAAAAAAGTACGGTACATAGATCATAGATCCAATGGGATATCAGTCAGCGTTAAGAAGAAATAAAGCGTGAAACTATGAAGATATACAGAGGTACTTTAAATGCATATTAGTGAGAGAAGCCATTGTAAAAGACCACATACTATACGATTCCAAGTATAGATATTCTAGAAAAAGTAAAACTATGAAGGCAGTAAAGCAAACAGTGGTTGCCATGAGCTGGGGTGGAGGTTGGAGGGAGGTGGAGCACAGGGGATTTTTAAGGGAGTGACATTATTTTGAATGATAATACACTGGTGGATATTCATAATTATACATTTGTCAAAAGCCATCGAATGTATAATACCAAGAGTAAACGCAAATGTAAACTATGGACTCTGTGTGATAATGGATCAATGTTTGATTGTAACAAACATTATCACTCAGATGAGGATGTCGATACAAAGGTTATGATGTGTGAGGAGGGGGTAATGGGAACTCTGCACTTCCCTCTCCATTTTTCTGTGAATGCAAAATCACTCTAAAAATAAAGATTTCTAATTAAAAAAATATATATACCAGAAAGATAAATAATTCTGGAGAATAAAAGCCTTCACAAAATTTGTTTCACCATTCATCAAAAATATGCATATGTGTAAGTCTATAACCTTCCTTTCTCAAAAAACATAAGCTTCATAGCTCAGGTTTCTGTATACAATTTGTAATGTGTATATAAATGTTGACTTACATTTACCTTAATTATTTCTGCTCAAGTACATATTAATCATCTTTTATAATGGAGGGAGGGAATCAAAGATTTTTATAACAACTGACAGTATTCTCCTGAACATCAATATAAGGAAAAGACAATGTGATTAAATTTTCACAAAATGTTATCTGTTCTTCACCAAAATATTTTATAGAAGAAACAGGAATGTCAAAGAAAACACATATACATACTTAAGAAAAAAAGAACTATGCAAGTTGCAGTCACTGACAGCATTATTAAATGGAAGAAAAATATTAATGATTAATAAAAGAAATATTAATTCAATGGAAGAAAAGGATATGACGAATAGGATCACAGTTATAACTCAGAGGTGAATGTGAACAGAAAGCATGCTAAGACAACAAAGAGAAAAGCAGGCTCTGAAGTGATAGAGAAAAGGAAGACAACAATGCACTGGGGTTCTGCATCAACTGTGGTTCCATTTAGATTTAGATTAAATCCTGATTTATTTAAAGCAAGTTGGTGATGAAACATTATAATTATGTTGGCACAAAATTATCACACATTTCTTTAAATAGTATATTTAGTCTAAACACACAAATAAGACACAAAAATCAGGCTAAACTGGAGAGCTAGGTGCTTTCCACAATGTAATCAAGGGCCAAATTTGCACCTGAGAAAATTACTATACCCAAGAGGCAAAAAAATATCATATGTGAACAATGGAGAAAACATCCACAAAGTGTAGATACTAGGCTATATATGACAAACAACAAAATTACACACAAGGATGAATTCATGGATCATCACAGTCCAACCTGTTTGCATTGGCTTGTTTAGACACCGCCTTCAATCTTTTCAAAGTTTTTCTAATATCAGCATCAGGGAAATGGTGATGACCTGCAGCCCCATAAGGAAATCCTGGACGAACTCCAGGCAGAATTCCTCTGTAGATAAATACGCACAGTGACTTTCATTACTATCTCAGAAGCAAAGCATAAGCAACTTCTGCAGAACATAGCCATACCTTTCGGGAAGAGCTCGACCATATATTTCTCTTTTCCATTTAGCTTCATTATCTTCTGCTCTTTGTTGCTGCATTTGATCAAAAATGGCATGGTAATGTTCATACTGTCCTCGAGAAGAAAAAGTTGATGGGGCTATAGTCCCTCCACTGCCAAAAAAAGGAGCCTAGGAATTAAACAAAGAGCTCTCACGTGTTTATCTCATAAGGCCTTACAGGCCTGCACTAATCTCAAAAGAAAGAGTAAATTTCAATGCTTGACTTTAAAAAAGTAATTACTTAATATGAACATACTAAGAAATCTAAAGCCTAAAGCAAAATATTTTCCTATTATAACTATTAACAACCAAAAAGTATTGTAACTGACAATAAAGCATAATTTAATGTGACAAACAGAAACAGCAAAATGTCACTGATTTCATGTAAATATGGAAAAATCTGGTCTTAACAAGATTTGAAACAAGCTTCCAATATCCATTTCATGTAATTCTGTTCCATTAAGTTTATGTACAGCTTACAAGTAAAGGAGAGCCTGCTTTTATATAACACTCAGAATTATATTTAACAAAAACATCTGCATATGGCTTTTAATATACCCCAAATCCTTAAATTCACCAACCAGATATGAAGGTCTAAACATTATTAAAACATGTTCTATATGTATAT